AGGAAAAGGCACCACAGGTTCATTTCCGTTCCTGGTAAGGGAGAGGTGTGGAGACTGTGTTTTTCCTTCATGTGATATGAGCCTGGACTCCTCGGTGGACACAGTTCAGCTAAGATGTCAAGGGAGGAAAATCAGCTGGGTATGGTGGCTTACACCGTTAGCCCCAGAATGTGAGAGGCAAAGGCAGGATGATCTCTGTGAGTTCAAGGCCAGTCTTGTCTAATGTATATAGTACATTCCAGGCCAGCCAGGGTTACTCAAAAAAGAAAAAGAAAGAACAAAAAAAGACCAAGAGCCCAAAGGGAAGGAAAATCAGTGTCATTTTAGGAAACACAGCCCAGTGGAGTTAAGAAGTCCTTCCACCAAAGCCAGACCTCAGTCATCAACCAGTGGTCACTGTCTCCTGTCCACCATTAAAGATGGCATCACAGTCAGACAAGCTCCTAGAGGAAGCTCCTAGACAGGAAGCTGCTATAAGCCAATCACAAGGCTGTTCTCTCTGCTGGGTTTTATTTAGAACAACAGTGCTCCCATGACACCTTACTTCTGCTGAGAACATTGGTATTGAGGGAGCACGAACACAGCTTTGTGTAAATTACATACACAAACAGATTAGCTCTATCTATTTATAAGGACCATAAACACACTAATAGTGCATGTGAATACATATCTGGACACACTAATAGTGCACTAGAATACACAGCTGGACACACTAATAGTGCACATGAATACACAGCTGGACAGACTAGTAGTGCACTAGAATACACAGCTGGACACACTAGTATTGCACTAGAATACACAGCTGGACACACTAGTAGTGCACTTGAATACAGAGCTGGACACACTGGGCTGAGAATCTTCTGCCCCGCCCCATCCGAGGCAGAATGCACCGGAAACAATGTGTTTTTCACTGTGCTTGTTATTAGAGACATGAAAGAGGAACCACAAAAAGAGCTGTGGAGTTTAGTTTCATTCTTGCTAGAGTAATTTTTAGTTAGGAGGTTGTGATTAAGTCAGGAGCGATGGTGCACCAATTACCCCATCACCTTACAATGGAAACGTGACAACAGTGAGTTCAAGGCTAGCCTGGAAGGCCACAACAAAAATGCAAAGTGGAAGCCACACGGGGTGGGAGGAGAAGGCAGCAAGGCAGAAGCGGAGAGTTTAGAATTAACAAACGAACAGCTCTGTCTTCTATAATGGGCATAGATACACGTGTGTACACACATGGCAGAGACCCACCATACCTGTTAACAAAGCCAGAATCTTTGTCTCTTGAAACATTGTTTTTTTTAAAAGATTTATTTATTATGAATACAGTGTTCCACCTGCATGTAAGCCTGCAGACCAGAAGAGGGCACCAGATCTCATCATAGATGGTTGTGAGCCACCAAGTGGTTGCTGGGAATTGAACTCAGGACCCCTGGAAGAGCAGTCAGTGCTCTTAACCTCTGAGCCATCTCTCCAGCCCTTGAAACATGTTTTAAAAGGAGACTATTTTACAGGGATTAGAGTTAGCTTTATAGCAAAAATCAAGGAGAAAGTATAGACATCTCCCACACATCCAATTACGACTTTTTAAAAGCTTGTTTTAAAAAAGAAGTGCAATCAACATTTTATGCTTCATTAAATCAAGAATGTACTTTTTTTTTTTTTTAAGTAAAGGCTGGGCCCTAGTTCCAGGCCTGATTCTATCAAGGTCCCACTGTTGACCTCTGGCAAGTCACTAACATTTCCCTAGCTGGGCCTGAGTTTCTCACTAAGATGGTGTCTTGAGTGTCTCACTTACCACAGAAAAGATTAGCTTAAATTTTTTTTTTGAGTGTTTCTAGCAAGGCATGGTGGCAAAGCCATTAATCCCAGCTATCGGGAGAAGGGGCAGGCAGATCTTGGTGTACATAGGCCAGCTAGGGCTACATGGTGAGACCCTGTCTCAAAAAAGAAAAGTTCCAATAACACAAAGAATAAAAATATGTGGAGGTCCTAATTTTATTCTGTGTGTGCATGAGACAGCGATAAAAATCCTTCACTTATCTTCTTTATCTTTCCTCAATGTAACTATAAACTGGGAGGGAGGGAGGGAGGGAGGGAGGGAGGGAGGAGAGAGAGAAGAGAGAGAGGGATCCATTTCTAAGGCTTGGTTTACGGTGCTTACAGTTCCACCAATAAATCATTTCCCAATCTGGGCTTGGAAAAGCACTGGCCACGGTTTGATTGCTCCAGCCCCAGGTTGCCAGGCAACCAGCACAAGGGGGAAGTCTGAGAAGAGCTGACAGATAGCCAAGTGGCTGAAACAACAGACTTCTCTCTGTCAAAAATGTGTTTCAGAGCACCACTTGCCCACCTCTGCTCTCTGTTAAACACGACATGACTGTAAAATCAAAATCAAAAGGCCACTGTAATAAAAACACACTTCCTGCCCAATTACCAATTGTTAAAATGCTGTGGGGAGGCCCAGATCACACAGTGTGTGGCAACAGAAATGTGATACTGTAAATGAGATAAAGTCGGCGGCATGTGAGAACCCTGATCTAAATGCAGCTTTGTCGTTTCAAGTCAGGGGACCCGCTGCTCAGAGGAAATCAGCTGCCCAAGAAAGCACCAGAAGGAAAATAATGACTGTTAGGATGTTAAAGAAACACACCAGACAACAAAGCTGCAGGCACAACTGCCTCATAGAAAACAAGAAACTCCTCAACTGTTAACTGGGGCCTATAGACAATGCATTTCCTCTCTCTGGCAGAGTTCTTCAGAGATCAAGGACCTCCTAGAAGCCAAGCCAGTGGTTCCAAGTGGATTCCCAAATGCTTGACTATAGTATTCTTAGGATAATGCCAGATATGACCAGTCCGAGATACGAGAGTCTGTGGAAGTATCTGGACCGCCTAGAGCCTGTGTCCTAAGCCAGCATGCTGTGCTAGCAGCTATGACAAGTATCACTTGTATGCAGTGTCCTGCCATGAAGCCACTGCTCTGAACCTGACATCTTAGATGTTCTGGAAACTATTGGTGGTATCTGGAAGAAGGATAATTCTTAATCTGTTTTATGCCATAGATACTTGGCATTCTGGCCAAGCCTACCCTTCTAAAAACAGTTTATGGCTGCCTAAAATACATGGGACTTCAAAGGGACCCAGTGATAATAACACTCCATCACTAGAACATTGTTAAAACTTATTTTTATGTACCTAAGTGCTTGCCTGCAAGTATGTATGTGCACTGCATGTGTATAGTCCCTGAGGCCAAAAAAAATGGGTGTCATATACCCTAGGTCTTTTTGTAAGCAACAGTGTGGATACTGGGAACTGAAGTCAGGTCCTCTGTGAGAGCAGCCCGTTCTTATCCCTGAGCCATCTCTCCAGCCCCAACCTAAACATTTTATATGGTGTGCTGGAGTGAGGTATGTGCTATGTTAACACATAGCAGATCTAGCAGAGGGTCTGCTATGGGGGGAGAGGGGTTACAGTGCATGTTTTCCTGGAGCTCACAGCACGGGCTCCAGAAGACAAGGGCAGGAAGGGTTTTATCATCTCACAACCCTTTGGTCATGTCAGTAACTTCAGGCTTGGGGTTCCCACAACAGTCCTCTCTAGTCCACATCTAGCCCCATCTTATCAGGCCCCCAAGACTATCACGGTGCACAACACTGGTGATTCGAACAGTTTTTTTGTTTTTTCTTTTTCTTTTCTTTTTTCTTCGAGACAGGGTTTCTCTGTATTGTTTTGGATGCTGTCCTGGAACTCACTCTGTAGACCAGGCTGGCCTCAAACTCACAGAGATCCGCCTGCCTCTGCCTCCCACGTGCTGGGATTAAAGGCATGTGCCACCAACGCCCAGCTGGATTCGAACAGTTCTAAGGGAATTCACTTAACAGACCCTCGACCTTCCTATCATTCAAGCATCAGAAAGGCCGTCTTTATCTTTTCTCCTCTCTTTTTATTTAATTTTTACTTTTGGGACAGGGTTTCTCTTGTAGTCCTGGCTATCCTGGAACTCTATCTGCAGGCCAGGCTAGCCTCAGACTCTGGATCCACTTCTTCTACCTACCACTGCATCTCAAGTGCTGGGATCAAAGGCGTGTACCACCACCACCCCCAAGTTCTGACACACACACACACACACACACACACACACACACACACACACACACACACACACACAGATTTACTTATCATGTATGCAGTGTTCTGCCTGCATATTTGCTTGCAGGCCAGAAGAGGGTACCCAATCTCATTATAGATGGTTGTGAGCCACCATGTGGTTGCTAGAAACCAAATCTAGGTCATCTGTAAGTGTAGGGAGAGATCTAGGTACCTATGGTGCTGACCATGCCCTTTCTGGGCGTGGCCACAGGTGCGTAAGGGCATGTGGGATAGAGTGCTGAGAAGAGGGGCACTCACTCCTTTTGGGGGTTCTGGTCAGGTCTCCAAAGACTGCACAGACTAACCTGGGTTTTCAGTTTCTCACGTAAGTAATTTCCCACAATAAATAACCAACAACATCCATACGCCGTGTATTGTTATATTTCCTCTACATGTAAGAGCAGCAAATGCTCTTAGCCACTAAGCCATTTCTCCAGACCCCCATTTTACTTTAAATGTCAACATCTCCATATGTGAAATTACATCTCACGATGAAAAACCAACAAGAACTGTATGCCAGTGTCTAGTGGCGTGGCTCAGGGAGTGCACGGCTGCTGTCTAGCACACAGGAAGTACTGGGTAAACTGAGGAGGTAGCAAAGGAGAGAAAGAGAGGTTTAAAGTCTCCTTGGCTCCATAGCATGTTCAAGGCCAGCCTGGGCTGCATGAGAGACTAAAACAGCATGCCAGTTTAACCTTGGGAGGAAGTGTGTGGTTTTAGGTAGCATTGTTTAGATGATTCATGAAGGCAGCTTTGGTGTTGTTTTTCTTTCTGAGATAGAACCTCTCAGTATGTAGCCCATGCTGGCCTGAGTCTCAGAAAGGGCTGACTGTGTTTTCCTCTATGCTGAGATTATAGGAGTGCCACCATGCCTGACAGGAGGGGAAATTTTCCTTTGTTTTGTTTTACTTCGCATCTATTGAAGGGGAACACAGAAATTCTCTGGAGTACCAAGCAGTGTCCACGTCAACCAGATTCATCAGACTCTAGCTTCAACCTCACAGAAGCAGTGAGGGCTACCGAGCTTGCTGCTCCAGCGTCACAGCCTTCTCTGTGCTGGCCTCCAAGGACATCCCACATTCCGACTTCTAAGGGTATCGCCTCCTTCTGTTGACGTTGTGTCTGGAAGAAACCTCTGTACTGACAGCCATTTAACAATTGTCTCTTCAATGTCATTTCCTGTTAGCAGTCCCTGGACACCTAGAAGGAGTCTAACTGCTGAATTAATAGACTTCCTTCTTAGAGGGAGTGTCTGCACTAATCTGAAGTACACTTGTCCAAGGCTCTGACTCTACCAGAAGTCAGGGCTATTTCACTTCTGCTTTTTGTCCTTACAGAGAAAATAACTCTTTAAGAAGTCACACCCGGGGCTGGAGAGATGGCTCAGAGGTTAAGAGCACTGACTGCTCTTCCAGAGGTCATGAGTTCGATTCCCAGCAACCACATAGTGGCTCACAACCATCTATAATTCAATCTGGTGTCCTCTTCTGGCATGTAGGCAGAACACTGTATATGTAATAAATAAATCTTAAGAAGTCATACCCTATGGAGGCTGTTTCAGTGAGACAGAGGGCTGTATGATGTAAACAGAAGAAAGGAGGGAGGGGAATGAGGGGAAGGGAGGAGAGGGGGGAGACAACTTTCCTACTTTGAGAAATCACAACTGAGGACATGAGTGAGGCTGGAGACCTCCTCGAGCAGCTCTCCTCCCCTTGGTTACCGAGGGCCACTCTGAGGCGGGAGGCACCTGCCCCGCACTGCTCCACTCTGATCCGTGGACCCTTCTTCTTGGGCTGCTCAGAGGGCAGGCAGGTGGACCATTGGTGGGAGTCATGCACGATCTAATCTGCTAACAGCAGAAAAAAATGTTTCTACACCCTGAAGGCTTAAGAAAGGATGAAAGACACGCTCCTTTCAAAAAGGAAGTGAATCATCCACGCATTAAGTCCTCCGTGTCTTTTTTGTTTGTCTCCGGCCTTTTCAGCCTATCTGATAAAACATACTACAACGAGGAAGCTTCAAAGAGAACGAAACCATGGTGACAAAGGGAATCCTACCGGACTAGAGTCCCGTTTTAAGTTTAGCCACACTCTTCTCAATCCTTTCTCCTATGCACAGGGAATCATCACCCACAGCTACTGTAAGATACCAGCAAAGGTCTGTGCCTAATCTAGTAAGCCATAGGGAAAAAAGCTGCGTTAAAACAATGCCCAGAACTAATCTCTGCTAAGTGACTAAGCAAACAAACACTAGGACGATGCCTCAGAATCTCGGGTATTAGGCATGTGCCCATCCATTCCCCAAACCCTGCCTCCTCATAACATTCCTGCACCTTTGACCCCACATGTTCAGGGTTTAGTTTATCTCAGTTAGGAAGGCCTGTAGCAAACAGGTCATCCCGCAGACTGGATGCTATCTCATAAGCAACAGCATTGGCTTTGTCCCTGTCCAGGGGACCTAACTGATGACCTTTGCTCTTCCAACATAGTTCAGACCACTCTTATTCCCAGCCAGGGACGTCACAGTAGCAACCCCAAATGGCTACTTGTATCACCACAGTTTTGACCCACACCGTCCTCTACACATGCCCCAGTGTCCCCCACTTCCAACCTCCTCTTCCTCACATTAAAACCCACACAGCATCCCTCTCAGTGCCTCCCCTCACAGGCAAGGCCTCAGTTCAGTCAGTGGCAGCCACCCACTGGCCTTGCTCGGCACCCTTATCAAGTGATTCTGCACCTATCTATCGGCACCACTGTTAAAATGCCTACATTTGCCCACAGACCTCGAGACTCTGTGTCTGTTCTGGTGTTCTTTATTCTAGCTAGACCAGCCCGTGGGGAGCCACACCACACACAAGAACTAAAGATCTCTCCCGGTGACTCCTGCAGGTCTAACATTAACCCACAAATCCCTTCCTGATGGTGGCCCCTGGCCATCCACTCCTTTACCACGTCTGTCCTCTTCTCCAAGTCATCTGTGTAGCTGGGGACTCTGGAGCTGGGATCTTTGACAGTGTGGGAGGGCGCTGCTAAAACACAGCACTGACACACAATGACAGACAGACTTCTCCTGGAAACCCCATGCTGCAGGTTCTCGAGATCTGAACTTGGCAGGGAAGACAACACCTGAAAAGAGTTCTGATAATCCGGCTTCCAGCTCAATCTACATGTGCACATTTCCTGACAGCTGTTTCATCTTTTCTATTAATTCCAACACAGGAAAGGCAAGGAAAGCATGAGTTTTTCTCTCCTCAGTCTTGGTCAACACTGTAAATAAACCCACCCACAGCCTCTTACCACTTTCTGCCTCACTTCTGCTACAGACTGCAGTAAGTCCAGGCCCGGGCCACACCCATGAGGGTTCTCTTCGAGGAGTCCTTCCTGACTCACGCTACCTTAAACAGAAGCACTCGTGTGGGCATGTGAATTCATGCCTGTAATCCTAGCACTTGAGGCAGGAGGAGCAAAATCGTGCCTGGTTATAGTGGCCAGCCTGGGTTAACTGAGACCCAGCCTTTAAAAAATATATTATTCACTTCCTAACAAAATGTCTAACAAGTTAAACATGGAACCAAATCATTCCCTTGTCTTCTGGTATCCCTCTGTCTCTATCATATCACAATGGCCATCTTCCGTCCGTCTTAGGCCATTGCACAGGGCCTCTACTTAAACTTACTGCTATTCTGGCAACTTCCTCATACACTGCTCTGCAGCTCTGCAAACCAAAGAGCCCTCCCTCCCTTTCAACCAGCTTCATTCACGCCTAATTGCTACGTCCACTTCCATCTCCCACAGCCCTTCAAATGCTCTGCCCTCAGGTCAGCGCCAGCCTCCTCTGCACCCATGTGCCATCTCTGTTTCTTGTGACTTGGCCTTTCTAGAGAAGCCATGTGAGGGGTTCTGGAACACAGTGGAAGGCAAACACTGCCAGCCACAGCCATGTGCTCCGTAGCCAGGCAATGGCCATGTGTGTCTGCAACCACTTCTCCATGTGTAAATGCCACGTCAAATGCTCAGGACCATCTGACACTAAAGGTCTCATGAGGCTTCTCTAGTTTTTCCTCTAGCTTCCTCCTCCTCAGAATCTCCAACACGGTAAAGCTTGCACAGTGCAGGCAGGCAGGCAGGGACAGTGGGGTGCAGCTCCATGTAAGGTCGGTTATCCGGAGACAGACAAAAACCTCTCCAGCCTCAAGCATCCACATCCCTTCTGCATATTCAAGTGGAGAGCGAAGCCCCTCGCACAGGCACAGCCTGGAGTGCATCGGTGCCCACTGAGCATGTGCAGTGCAGAGGCACAGGGCTGATTAATGTTTGGCCTTCTTGAAATGTGGGAGCAACATGCACCACAGTGTAACCAGGAGACAGAACAAATTCCTGGACTGTCAGACAGGAATTTAAAAGTGGAGGGGGAAGATTATGCTGCTGGCTTAAGTCAAAGTTCTACAGGCGGACAATTCACCAAGGCCAGGCTGCTCTAGGGTACAAAGTCCCGCAGAGCTCAGAGCTGAGAAGGAAGCTGTGCTGGCTCTAAGGGTGATTGTAAACAACCTTAAGTCTGTGCTGCTTAAGGACTGGGGGATTCCACTCCCACAGCCTAGACTGAGAAGGAGGACCCTCCAAGTTCAGAGGCGCCCCAGTCCTCTGTAGCATGTGAGCAGTTTTGCCTGATGATACCCAGAATCCAATTCTTCTCCTGGGGCACAGCGACAGCAGAGATGCCTTTCACATATAAAGTCCATCATTTTACATTTACATTGTCAGATGGGTTACAAGTCTAGGTCACCTGTCTCCCCAAGCCTATGCTTATGACAATCTTGCTAAATTCATTTTCTAAATTCCTGTTTGAAAAATGGATAACCAAGCCTGCCTAAAAAGAAAAGGCCCTGGATGGCATATTTAGGTTGACCATACTTGTTTGGCAAGTGGCTAACTAGCAAATGCCTGACACCTGCTACCCAGGAGACAGCACGAGCTCCACCATAGCCACTATTTCCTCCCAGTCCCCATAGCTCACAGGATACTAACATAAGACTAGAAAATATTAGAACACCTATATTTGTATCTGTGTATTTTTGTTTCATTTTTAAACTATGTATTTATTTGGTGGTTTGGTTTTTGTCTGTTTTTGTTTTGTTTTCTCGAGACTGGGTCTCTCCTTCTAGCACTGGCTGTCCTGGAACTTACTCTGTAGACCAGGCTGCCGCAAACTCACAGAGATCCTCCTCCTGCCTCTGCCTCCTGAGTGAGGGGATTAAAGACATGCACCACCAAACCCAGCTTGAACTTTTTTTTTTCCAAGTCTGTCTACGTGTCTGCATGAATTTCTGTGTACTGTGTGTGAAGCTGCCCATGAAGGTCAGAGGGAGTTTAGATCCCCTAGAGCTGGAGTTGCAGTGCCTGCTACAGATGCTGGGAACTGAACCCAGGCTCTCCACAAGATCAGTAAGCATTCTCAGCTCCTGAGCCATCTTTCCGACCCCTCAAGTCTTTTTAATATGAATCATTTCATTAAGTTAGACAACAATCCCTGGTCCATTTTCCTTACTAGGAGAGTAAAAGACTGGAATGCGGTCAGACCCAGAGTTCCTGTCAGGCACACCTGCCAGAGAGTGCAAAGCTGTCCCCTCATCCTGCTTTTCCAAGCGCTGGGATTAAAGGTGTGTGCCACTGTATCCTGCTCCTCCAACTTGTTATTTAGAAAGAAAAAACACAAAACATTTTTAATTTACTTATTAGTGGGAGGGAGAATGCAGGCCACAGCACACATGTGGAGGCCAAACAAACTTTGGGGAGTTGGTTCTCGCCATCCAACTTTATGTAGGTTTCAGGGGTTGAACTCAGGTTCTCAGGTACGTGTGACAGGTGCCTTTACCTGTGGAGCCATCCTGCTGCCACCCACTTGTTACTTTGAGACAAAGTTTCACTAGGTTGCTCAAACTGGTTTTGAACTAACCAGGTAGCCTATCTCATCCTTGAATTTTGCATTGCTCTGCCCCAATTTCCCAAATAGCTGGGATTACAGGGATTGCACAGCAGGTCTAGCGAGGTTTATGTCTCCACAGACTACCAGTCTTTTATAGGCTCCTCCTGCCTGATCTCAGCACCAGGGCTTCTAGGTCAGAAGGGAAAGAGCAAAATTCACCATTCACCTTCTCCACAAGCTAAGTTTGTCTTGGATTAACAGAGGGGGACCCATGGCCTCAGAGACAGCCCAGGTACAATGGGTACTGGCCACAGGCTGTGACGCTAAGGCGTTCTGTTTTTAGTGTCCAGGAAGCACTATGATGGAATGACCCAGGACATTAGAATGCACACACTTTAAATAAAACTGGCTGATCAGTAGGTCTCTCAGGCTGCACATTTAAACGCTCTGCTTCATCTTCTACTTTCCTTCCAATGTGCAGCTTTCCTGTCCCTTCGGCGTCAGTTCTCTGTCTGTCTGTATGTGAGGCCTTCCTTGCTCTCACTGCCAAGATTAACTATACTAACAGCCCTCTGCAAGGCAGGCGAGCGACCCTGGCGCTGAAAGAGGAGGGAGGCAACCAGAGGTCTG